TGAGTCTGAATCAGAATCCAGACGTGAATAAAATGGTATTTATTAAACAATTTTATATGAGTTATCCAATAAATATTTTCTGTGCGTCTTGTTATAATATATTTTTTAACAAAGAATCTGTTTCACGAATTTGCACCTGTTTTGGATTATCTTTAAAAAGTCTAAAAACGCTAAAAACCAATGTTCGGCTGGGAAATTTATTTGTAGACAAAATCTAAAACGTAATTTTAATTTTTTCAAATGACTTCTTGTATTCGTGTAACGCATCTTAATAAAGTTTACGCTGCTAAGCAACAACAAAGCGCAACCGAAATAAGAAGACACGTGCATACTGCAATTAAAAATGCGATACTCTTTTGTCAGAGGACATTGGTTATTTCTCACTTTTTCCTTTTGTGTAAATTTTCGTCTTTTTATGGTGTTAAAACTAAAATAATGGCATCCACAAGCAGACGTAGCTGTGTAAACCATCCAGATGTTTTTGGTTATGTGTGTTGCGAATACACTTTGAAAGAAAGTAGAAAAACTATTTCTGACTTTGTTAAAAGGTCTTATCTTGCGTATTTTGGCGTTTATTTATTTATTTTGTGCGAACTCAACTCGATTCACATTCTGTCGAACGAAGGTAGTCGTCTCAACACGTGCCGTATTGAGAGATTAGAATCCCACTGCAGGATAAATCTTGGGCTCCACATATCGTGTGTAAAACATGTTTTGAACATTTGTGACGGTAGAAAATTGGAAAGAGGAAGTGTCTAAAGTTTGTTGTACCAATGGTTTGGAAGGAACCACGAAACCATTATGATGACTGCTAATTTTTTCTCTTTAATATTAAAGGTATGGGCAGGAACAATAGACACAAATTGACATATCTTGATGTAGATTTTGTAAGAAGATCTGTACTACACTCGGAAGAAAAAATACCCTTTCCACTTTTTAGCAGTATTTCTAAACTCCCGGAAGATGATAAAGAAACATCAACGTCTGATGAAGTTCAAAGAATTCAATCATAAAACGACAGCGAATTTGAAGCAGATTTAACAACTCCTTAGCGTTTAAATCAACAATAATTGAACGATCTCATAAGAGATCTAAACCTCTCAAAGGAGTCTGTTGAATTTCTTGCATCCAAATTAAAAGAAAAGAACCTTCTTTATCCATGTACTAATATTACATTTTATCGTAAAAGAGATAATGATCTGCTGCTTTTTTTCACTCGAAAAAATAACCTACTATTCTCTAATGATATAGAAGGACTCTTAGAAAAAATGGAATACACTTCAGACGATTGGCGCCTTTTTATTGACAATTCAAAACATAGTTTAAAATGTATTATTTTACATAACGGTAACAAATATGAAAGAGGAATATGAAACAAAAACAACAACAAAGTTATATATGAAGAACATTAGTGGACAAGAAACTGCAGAGTTGCCAGGGATCTCTTAAGTTATCCTGACAACACTGCAGCAAACAAATACTAGACAGAATCTGTGCCTAGTCACAGGCATTCTGACTGGTCATTGCCAAGTACGGAAGCATCTCAGGAGGGTGCTAACAAGAAGATGATACCATCGAGCATTTGCTCGACGTTCTCATTTATTAGAAGATTTGTGTTCGGCGAGTATCGGCTAACACCGGCCGATATAAGAGAAGCACATCTTGGCGACGTTGTCAACTACATTAAATCTGTAGGCTGGCTCACGAGCTAGGAGGTGCCTATCATCTTAGGAGGATGCACAATGGGCCTAATGAGGCCTAAGTGCCGTGGAGGTAACCCACCTTCCACACGCTACAGATACAGAGATCAGTGGGCAATTTGTGTTGATTTAAAAATGGCAAACTTCCTCCCTGGACAGCAAAGTGGATATACAAAATATTTTATGTCTTTGGGACAGCAGAGCTAAAAATCAGCACTGGGTTAACAGAAATTGGCCTTTAAGAGATGTTATGATTTAAGGAAAACAAATCGTAATCAACGAACCTTTGGTCACGAGAGAAAAATCTTACTATCAACCTTGCATATCAAATTGGGGCTTATGAAGCAATTTGTAAAAGCTTTAAATCGAGTTAGAAATTGTTTTGGGTACTTGTCACGTAAGTTTCCTGGGATTAGCACGAAAAAACTAAAAGCTGGTATATTTGATGGTCCTCAAATAAGGCAACTTATAAGAGATCTACAATTTATCACATCAATGAATGAGACTGAATCAACGCTTGGTGTTCATTTGTTCAAATAGTACAGAATTTTCTTGCGAATCATAAAGCAGATAATTATATATTGGAAACTATTTTTTCAAATTTTAATATTTTCGATTGTAACATGAACATAAAAAAGATCACTACCTTCACAACCAATACAACCGCTTTCCAGAAAATGTAGGTGATTGTAGTGAAGACAGGGAGAAAGATTCCATCAGACATTAAAACTATGGAAGATCGATATCAAGGACAATGGAATAGCCACATGATGGCCGACTACTGTTGGAGCCTTCAGCGAGACTGCCCTAGTAAACTTCATGCTAGAAAGTTGTATAAAAGAAAAAATTTAGGTGGTAAGTGATTAATGTATGTATGAATGAATGAATCTACTTTTTGTAATAAATACTTAACTCTATGTATTTTTAGTTTTTCTTAACTTAAATATTGCCAATCTTAAAAATTAGATCTGATAAACCAAATCTGATGGCTATTTATGGATTCTGAACCCACCGTTAAAAAATCGCAGACACCAAAATGTCTGTTGGCTTGTGTTATATCAGATATCAGATAGACTCGTATAGTTCACCAAAATTTGAAATGGCGATTTTTTAATGTGATCGCGTATCCACCAATTTTTTTAATACAATTTCTTACATAATGAATAATTAATTGATTTTTCGAATAATTTATTATTACCTAGGTATTATAAAAAAGCTATGGCAAAAAATCAGTGGCGTAGATGTGTGGCTCTAGTAAATAAAAATAAATAGTACACCCTACTCCATTGCTGTAGAAGCGACTTTATTATTTTATTAAGTAAACTAGCGAAATACAGTACATTTTATTGATCTTTATGAAAGGCTGTAGCGCAGGAGTTCCCAAACTTTTTGGTATGCGGGCCGAATTTCCTAATTATTTAATAAAAAAGTGAATTGGCCCATAAGTATACATATATTATACAATTTTGTTTTGTCCACATTGTATAACACAATTGGTAAGACTAAAAATATTTATATGTTATACAATTTAAAAATAATATCTCTTTGGTTTTTAAAATTTCACAAAATTTTTTTACAAATTACCAGTTTTCACAGCTTCGGCTAACGCCTCAGCTGTGCAAAATTCTGGGCTCAACATATAATGTTGGCCTTCTACTCCTAGTAACATAATATACTATTTTTTATTCATTTCTTTTGTTTCGTATGGTTTGAAAACAGCACCGTAATAAATACTCTTTCGCCGACGCCAATGCTAAGAAGTTTGTCTTCTTTCTTTTTCTCCCTTTTTGTCTTTCTTCTTCCCTCCCCTTTTTCTTCTTAATCCTGTGCCTTTTTATAGCTAAGTGTAAAGCTGTTTGGAGTCAAGTTACTTTCTTTTTTATCATTTTCTTCTTTAGTTGTGCTTGTCTAGGTCTTTCCATTTTATTATATGTCGTATCAAATGTATCTTAAATACTTTTTTAGGTAATCTTTCATTAGGTTTTTGACATAATATGCATACCCAAACCAGCGTAAATTGTTCTTAATTATTTTTTCGTTTATTGGTTCTTTATTTAAATTCTCTAAATATTCTCACATAATATGGAAAAATTTGAAGCCACATTGAGGTTATCTTAAATAAAAAAATTTAAACCCTTCGGACCCCCGTACTACACCCTAATCCGCTTGTAGCGTGGCGGTACTGAAGCCTGCGGCTCATTGTACCACCACTTGAAGCTGCTACTACTTTCCCATTCACTTACTCATTCAGTGTCATTAATTCCACGTCGTCGATAGTTAAACGCTAGACGGCTCGGCTGTCCCATGGTGGCACGGCATATGGTGTAAAGTCCCAAGCGCCACTTATCCACAACGTGACCGAAAAGCTCATTACTTAATTGTTGTGAGACCGTCGTTGCATACTAGTCTCGCAGTTAGCCTCTCCGGCATTATAAATATGTAGATATTAATCAAATAAAAGTAATAATATTTTAATATTACCTCTGCAGAATTCTCATTGAGAAAAAGAGACTTAAAAAACTGTAGACATTTTTAACAGCTTAAAAAAAGGAGAAAGTTCTCAATTCGTCTGAATATTTTTTATTCATGTATATTCAGCGATAATTCTTTAACACGGTGTCCGATTTCCATGATTCTTTTTTTGTTTTAACTTGTTAATAAAGGATTGAACAGTTTCATTGCTCTGTCACATTTATGATTTTACTAAAAAAATGTAATAAATATAAATAATAATATAATGTTTAATTATATGAGGTTTGTTCCAAGGAATAACTTTTGTGCCGTCGTCTAAACGAACACAAAACTATTCAAAACACAGACGCCAATTTCTTGACTTTACAAAAATATACACGAGTTCTTATTGAACAGTTATACCATGCACACACTATTTTCAGTGATCAATATGATTATTGACTGTTTTGGATTTTTTTCTAACCTTTGTTTATTTCGACACCCGAAACCGTAATTAACAAATATCAGCTGTAATTAAACGTCTGGTTTCCAAATTGTTAAATATAAGATTTCGGAAACAACTCGGTGACAAAATTTTTGTCTTGAATATAATGTTTACCTGCGGTGGAGTTGTCGTTATATTTATATATTAATTAGGTACATTAGATCGCACTTTTCTGGGATTCTGAGGCTGATCGAGCCCACCCCTTTCCCCCGCTAGCTACTCCAAAGTCTTTTGCAGATTTAGGGATTTTTTTCGCCAAAATTGCTTACGATTGCCAAGAAAGTTGGAAATACTTTATCCATTTTTATTAAATATAATATTAATATATTTATTTTTAATTTCAGCGCCACAGTACATATCACCGTTTCGGACGTGAACGAGTACGCGCCCACATTCTCGGAACCCAGCTACGTGAGACAAGTGGACGAAGGGAGGATTTACAGTGAAATCGTCCGAGTGGAAGCCACCGATCGAGATTGCACTCCGAAGTTTGGAGACGTCTGCAAATATGAAATCCTCACATCCGATCAACCGTTCGTTATTGACATGGACGGGGTTATTAGGTAAGTTTAATTAAGCGTACGTTCTGATTTTGAGGCTGTTTGACATTCACGTTATAGGCTGATTGTTGTTTATTGAATGAGGTGTATTTCTGTTACCTAAGTAGTCGTGTTTTTAAAATTTTGGTGGAAAATTTTGATGATATATAAATTGGCGCCTAACGTGGGGCTTTTTAAGAATTTCAAGCCCAACGGTAATATACAATGTGTTTCAGAGTAAAAATTAGGGTTTCTAAAACGAAAAGCGCTTATTTTTTACTAGATCTCGTTGTTGCAGAAACGTTGGAATAAGTGTATAAACGTTAAAGAAACCTTCATACAAAAATACATTTGGTTCATTGTTCTCGTCATTTTTGTTCTTGCCTATATAGGTAGGTTACGTAAAATCACCCCTTTATTTAATTCTGTAGCAAATTATATCGAAATTAACAATAACCTTTGGATTTTATAACATCGAAATTTAAAACGTCGGCATCCCAAATAGAAAAATATTACTTATTCAAAGTCGCAAGTGACACTTTCGATGGCCCAAGCCACTGCTGCTGTCAAATAAATTTCTATCGGCATTAGTATCACCGGGCCAGGAAAAGGACGATAGGACGAAAAGGAGCAGAAATTCCCAATTCGTTGAATGAATTTAGCATCAGAGGATCAGTTACGGAAGGGTCGAGGGAAAAAATGGCAAGATAATTTATCGTGAGTTTCTTTCCGGGAAGCGGCGTGTCTTGGATTCTCTAAGGACATACCTAAGTTTGTTACGTTTTTTTTATTAGAACACAAACCTTTGTACAAGGATTGGCTTACACGAGGGTCATGCAGAAATTTAAAACCTTAGAACTAGTTGAAATAAATAGACTAGTAAGTAGAGATGTAAACACCGACAATTTTAACATTCATTATAAAAATTTTTAAACTTCGTGTTGAGATAAAGTACCGAATGAATCGAAATTTGCCGATTTTGCAACTCGATTGGTACTAGATATTACCACGAAGTTTAAAAAATGTAAGAATTAATGTTAAATTTTTCACCTGTTTTCTAGCCTAAGAGAGTACAAATTAAAACATAGCTCCCAAATGTACTTTGTTATGATGTAGGAGGGAAATTTATGGTCATATATTAGTGTAGCATTCTCCAGAGGTTTGTTTCGATTTACACGTCACGTCTCATTGTCATTTCATAAGTAGCGTCTCTTACATTTTTTTAATAAGAAAAGTACTTTTTTTTTGATCCAAATAATGTCGTAAATTTTAATTTAAAGTAAATTATAAATTTAGCGACCTAAATTAAAAAAAAAAAAATTAAAAAAATTAAATTTAAATATTATTTAGTTCAACAAAAGGACATGGTGTCAATTTACAAAAGACTTCTAACTCCTATAGAATTAAAAAGCAGCAAATTTGGAAACACGTATAGATAAAAAGATATAGATAATACATCTATTTTAACTATTTCATCTGAGACAACCACCCACTTAAAGAAAATTTAGAAAAATCCAGCGGGTTCCAAACTAAGCTGGATTCTTTTGATCCAACTTATCTACAGCTCTTTCAGTGTCTAGATTTAACAGGTTTTACAGAAGATGTAAATGTTATTACTGGTTTTGTAGCTAAATATTTAACAGAAAAATCATGGTTTTTGCCAAATACCTCGGCAACCGTTTGAGCTAGGAAGATGCGATTTGTGGCGTTGAATTTTGTAGTGATAATTACAAGTGTGTGAAATTTTTAGTGATATATGTTATTTTTAAGTGTTCAAAGCTCTTTTAATAGGGTCGTGAATTTAGCATTAGGATTAAAATAACACAAGTACAAATTAGATATCTGCTTACATTAACGAACACCAGATTTACCTTCTGAACATCTTATTAACGCAAGGATAAATTGGATAGAAGTAATATGAGATGAAACGTTTCAACTTTTAAGTGATAGAAAAAAGAAATTTTTATAGAAATTAAGTGAAACGTTACCTCATAAAAATATTATCTAAAAATAACCTACAAATAAATCTCGTATAATCATTGCATGAAACTAAAAAATATTAATAACAAAGCTTACCATATTGCATCGATGAATTTCGTTAAACAAAAAAGGAATTAATGAAAGATTACTAGGAAATTTATTGTTGAATCCTAAATCCATTTTATACAAGTGACATGTCAAGAATGGTTCTTTTGATAGTCCACATTATCGTGACAAGGATTATAGATATAATCATAGAGGTGGGAGAAAAATAACTGTATTATAAATATATACTGTTACGCAGGTTTTTGGTATCACAATTTATTTCAACTCAACTTTAACAACAATTATACAACTGATACAATAACTCCAACTGATAGCATTAACGTTTAACGTCTATCATAAAACTGAACTCTGACGTCAGGTCATCGCCTTATATAGCTTGCCTCGACCTTCTGGAACCTTCTCGAACAATCTGGACTTTTCTTTGACAAGGAATGGCATTTCGAGACATTCGGGAATATTCTATCTTCTTCATTTACTCGTACCTTTACTTATGACGACCGCAGCACGCTACTGGGTTCTGCGTAACATTACCGTTTTACAAAATGGTATATTTAAATCTCCCGATAGCTCTAAGTTTCGAAAATCGATGTGTTATATTTCAAATATTTGGAGACAGAAAGATCTCCACGCTCCCCAATTACTGATGTCATGAATACATAGGATTTGTTGTTTCCATTTAGCTTTTTAAATACAATCTTTTTATTTCCCATTATTTTTCTTTATACAGTATGTCCCCCTAGGTTGGAATCATATGGAAAACTTTTTTATTATTAATTTTAGGAAAAAAAGTTATTCTTCATAAAAAGTTCTGCATTATCTAAAACCTAGAATACAGTCATCAAATTTCAAATTTTTTCAGTGGTATACGAGGTTTGTCAAAAAATATGTACCTTTCTTCTTTATACGACTGATAAAATTTGATATTTGATGACTATATTCTAGGTTTTAGATAATGCAGAACTTTTTATAAGGAATAACTTTTTTCCTAAAATTGGTAATAAAAAAAGATTTTCATATGTCTACGTAAATTGGCGGCATATGAAAATTTTTTTTATTATTAATTTTAGGAAAAAAAGTTATTTTTTATAAAAAGTCGAGCATGGTCTAAAACCTAAAATACAACCATCAAATATCAAATTTTATCAGCAGCACTGGGTTGCAGCAAATCCCCTCTGATACCAAACAAACCCTAAAACTCTATTGAATTCTCTCTCTATGAAAAATTAATGATGAAAATTATACATGAACTCCCTTTTTGTAAACCACGCTCCGCCTATGGCATCCAGGTTCATCCCGAATATAACCCGGTCATAAAAATCAACACAAAATTTTCCTGCAAAGCCCCGGATTCAAAGGAGTTTACTATATTGAAATCCTGTCGACTTTTTCCGTGTATATATTCCCGTTCTTTGGGCATGAAAGGATATTAAATTTAAAACTACCGACCGAGGTTGTTCGTATTACGCTCCGACAATTCAAAATTAAGGGAGATGCGATGCGATTTTTACTAGCCCTTTGCTTTCATATTTTACGCCGCTTAAAATGGTAATCCTTTTTTTAATATATACAGATTGGTACGACGAGCGATCTGAGGCGCACTCGTTACATTCGAAAATCGGATGCGTAAAAGGGTCAATCCCCTTAGCTGCACTCGGTGTCCTGTTTAGGATTCTCGAACGGAGAAATGGCTATAAATTTCTGACGAGGATACACTACTATACATCGCCAGTAATATACTGATATTCAGTGTTGTTCCTGGTTGTACAATTGTAGAAAAAGTTGTACAATCAGTTGTGCGGTTGTACTGTTGTATGCACTTTTGAAAAAAGACAGAAATGTTGTACAATTTGAAATTGCTAAATATTTATGTAAAATCGGGTATATAAAAGATTTTCTTCGCTCAAAAAGTCTACGATTCGTTAAATAGCATGCATTAAAATTAATAATAAAAATAAAAGTTTAAATTTGGCGCCATTCGCGACCAATCAGTACACCGTTTTACATCGAAAATATATTTTAAACTGGAAAAAAGAAGAATTTTAGGCATCGGGAAGTAGTAGGCCATAGTCTATCACTAAAAAAGAAGAAGATTAATTACTGGTTGTACAATCCTCCGAGCAATTGGAGCAATTGCTCGGAGGTACAATCGAACGTAAAAGTGTACAATTTTGAAAGTAATATTGGTTGCCTAGATATCAGTAATGTTATACCAAAACACAGAAAAAATACGAAATGCCGTTTTATGTTACTCGTTCTTGTTGCGGGACCTCGCTCTGCTCGTCCTGCAAATATTTACACAAAATAAGGCATTTCGTAACTGATTGCATTTAAGGCTACTAAAACTATCGTGTACACGTTAGCCGCACAAAACTCTATTTTTGCACTTACCGACTTATCACTCCCCTAACTCATGGGGGTTCTCAAATGGTAGACGTTGGTCTGGCTAATAATGTCCCTCTGAAGGTTTCGATGCAGATCACTTTTTCTAAAGTAACCAGGAGCATTTACAATGTTCCTTATTATTTCATTCTGATACTGCTGAATTGTTTGGATATTTACTTTCTTTTGTATAGCCCCAAAACTGTATACCATAGGTACACAACTGCACACAGGTTTTAATTTAAAAGTTGCTTATTCAATAACAATTTATTGCAGATAGAAATAGTGGTATTTCTACCCATCAACCAATACATATTTTTGAGTTTAATTCCTAGTACATCTCTGTTTTTCTTAATATGAGCTTTCTAGTGTAGCTTAGCGTTTAAGGTAAAACCCAAATATGTTGACGTCTTTGCATACGATATTTGAGTATACAAATTGGTATTACGTCGTTCTTTTTTAGTAAAATTAACATGAACGGATTTTATTTCGTTCAGTTTGATACGCCATTATCGGCTCCAGGCACTGATTAGTTTTATAGAGATTTGCAGTTTTATGATTTTTGTCGATAGGATAAGAGTAACGTCTGCAAATGTTGCTATAGTATTGTATTCTGTCGTTGATATATCTTTAATGTATAGTAAATAAAGAACTGGTCCCAGTACGCCTCCCTGTGGTACCCTAACTTCTATTCTCCTTAGTTTTGTGTATGCTTCCTCATGTTTTTCTTGGAAGTATCTATCAGACATACATGATTCCAACAGTTGGAAATATTGTTTTGGCAGGTATAATCGCATTTTGTAGTAGAGTCCGTCATGCCATACTTGTATCGAAAGCCTCAGCTACATCGAGGAACATTGCAGAACAAACTTTTTTTCTTCTAAGGTATTTTATATTGTACTAGTAATTCTGTGAACCTGGTCTGTCGTTGAGTGGCTCTCTCTAAGCCCAAACTGATGGGAATTACATTTATGTCTTCTACTATTTCAGTATTTTCAACAATAACTTTTAAAATAGCTACGAAAGAACAGGTAGTAACGGAATCGGTCTGTATTGTGGTGATTTTCCTGGCTTTTGACAATATAAGAAATCAATTAGATCTGGAATCTTGTTTGTGTCAGTCGGTCAGTAAGTTGACTTTCCTGTTAAGATTGTCTTACATTTTGTTTAATTGCTTTCAATAAATCCTTACCTTTGGTTGTAGTCGTGAGTCGTGATCTTCACTGGGTATTTTTAGCCTTGAAATCTCCATTGATAAATCTATTTCCTTGAGTGTCCAAGAAGTCAACATACTGATATTTCTTGATGACATGTCTTGGGGGACAGTAGACCGATTTTATGACTACGTCTTAGTTCTAACACCTGAGGTTTCCTGTAGTTTTATAATCCATTTCTTGGTGGTTCTTGATAAATAAATAAAATTAAAAGACTAAAAATGTCTTCTCACTTTAGTCAGATTCGTCAGAACTAAAGTCAGAATCATCTCTGTTTGGTGATATTATAATGGGGGCAATTTCCAATCTGTCCATTATATTCTCCCTTTCATACCATTTGAAAATTGATACAAACTTGGTTCCCTTTCTTTGACAAATATTCTTAAAATTCTGCCTATTTCACGGCTACATTAGGAAGTTACATAAGACCTCGTCTTCGTTCATATTTCTTCCATTTGAAATCTGTTTCTAATAATAAGGTATGAAATGATGCGTAACATCCATTGAACAACTCTTTTTTATCACTATCAACGAATCTAAAGTTGCTCCTTTGAAATCATACATTAATTTATTTATTTACACTTACTCGTCTCCTACATGCTATAAATAACATCTTGAATAACACTGGTATCCAGTATTCTTGTGTTGGTGACTTTCTTTGTCCTATGACGCATTTTTGGTGGTGACTTTAGAACTTCACTATTCTTTAGTGCCTTTGATATCTAACAGTAGATAAATTGAGGTTAAATGCTGCTGCTACATGCTAAATGAAAAAAATATATTAATTTGATGTTGATGTACATTATTAATATGTACTTACTTCTCTAACAGCTAATAAAGGTAGCAGAGATTCATTATTATCACCAATGGCGGCCGGTACATATTATCTATTATCTGCCGTAAAGCTAGTTGCAGATAGGAAGTGGGCAGGCGGTCCTTATTTTGACGTGCAAATAAAAATCACTCTATTACTCTGAGTGTCGTCATGCGCGTGGCAGACGAAAACTGAACACGGGAGCATTCAACAATTTTCTATTGTCAATGTCTCAGTGGATTTTTTTTGAGTTATCTGTAAAAATTATATTTGAAAAAGTTTATTTTAATTTTCGGATTAGCTTCTGAACGCCTTTAATGCTGAACGTCAGACGGTTCGACAGTGGTTTGGAATTCACTAATGTGGAATCCTTATGTGCTATAATTCCATCGATAACTATAAATCCTAGAGATTCAGGTTAATTTAATAGTATAAAAATATATAAAATGAATAGCAATATGTATCAATATAAATTATGAACTCTGGCACACTCCTACAACATGAGGCGAATTTAATCTTCAGTTACTTTCCATTAAAACTGCTACAAAAATCAAGGTTATAAAGTTTACCAAACGAATATCATCACATGTGATGAAATAAAAGTATGAAGGATGTAATAAAATGTACAGAGATCTAGGTGGCAATTTTTTAATTATCTTTTCAAATTTGCTTGTGGACAATTCGTCATCTCAAAAACTGAATTGAGGAAAAATCCCTCGAGCTAAGCTTTCGATATTTTTTTATAAGATTATCTATGTAAAACATCTTATGGTATTATAAATAATCCTTTTTTTGTTTTCATTTCAGAAATACCGAACCCTTGGACTACGAGCGCTCCCACAACCACATTCTGTCAGTCATCGCCTACGATTGCGGAATGCGTCAAAGTTTCCCCGCTTTGGTTACCATCAAAGTCAACAGGGTGTGCAGACTCGGATGGAGAGGATTACCAGAAAGGGTGGACTACGCGCCAATGACTGGAAAACAGGAATTGTTCCCGTCTGCCAACTTGGAGCTGTGCGATGTTCCATGCAACATTAGAGAATTGAGGACCAGAGTGGATCTTGCTACTAGGTGAGTGTTTAAATTTGTATAATCATGTAATCGTATTAATATTTACGGTTTATTTGCCGGTAATAGACGAATGTCTTGTAGATTGCTATTATTTATCGGGTCTTCACTACAATCGCTTATTTTTAATTAACTCTAATAAGAGTAGATTTACCTGTGAAAAATAAGAATAACGCCAATAATTGGTTTGTTGGTCCAATTCGATTGCCTGATGATCGCCTTTCAGTTGCTTCCGGGCTATCTAGTTTTCATTTATTTAGGGTATTTCTGTTTTGAAAAAAATTCTATTTTTGAGAACGCTGTGCTAACGGCTAGTCTGAAATGAAAAATTCTTGTCCAGTCTTCATATAGATAATATTTGTGACAAACACCGCGGAAGATTATTTTCCTAGTATTTATAGTTTACCCTCTAGAGCGTTCCGAAGAGAGGCATGTCTTGTCGTTGAAGGCCACGCTCCCATGTTTTGCACTGCTTTCATTTCGCTATGGGCCGAACGGATAATCATATTGAAATTTCAAAAACCAACATACCAATTTGTCGCTTAATTCTACTTTATCTTCAGATAACTCCTGTCCTAGACGATTCATTGCTTCGACTATACTATAACATTAATACTAAAATGTATATTGACAATTAGTCAGATAGATTTGTCACTACTAAACGTAAACTGCGATTGGTGGATTTCATATCGATTCTATGGAAAATATCACCTAATCTGACATTCTTTACATGTTTTTCTATCGATTTCATAAACGTTTTCCAGACAAATATTAACCAATATTGAAATTTGTGTCAAGAACACTTTGACCCTGATACATTCCGTATCTCCATCTGGTGTTATCTCAGTGCTTTTAAAGTTGTATCAAAGGGTTGTAGAGCAAACAACATTAACAAAACTGGCGCCTGAGTGTTCTCCGTGTTTGCATAAAGTAAATCGTTTTAATACTTGCTGCGATTACAAAATATGTCACCTTTATAAGTCAAAATTAGAAAAATAAATTTTTTACTTGAGAAGCCAATGATAACTGATTAGTATAAGTAACATCCAGATCTTTAATATCTGTATTTCTCTTTAATATTTTTTGATTCATCATTATTAAAAACAATTTAATGTCATTACTCAACATTTGGTAATATTAAAATAAAGTTTACTTCATTGACTCTACTCATGTAAATTATTAATGTCCTTTTGTACCATTACACAGTTTGTTCCTATTTGTGTATTTTAAAATCATTTATTAAAAGTAAACAGTCTGAGTATTTTAAAACCATAGGCATTTATAAAGAGCACAAACAATAGGGGATCAAAATGAGATCCTTGTGAAACACCCAGTTTAACTGAAACCTTACCCAACATATTGCCGATATGGTAATTACCGGGGAATTGCAGAAGAGGTACTTAGGAATTGCAGAAGAGGTACTTAGGAATTGCAGAAGAGGTACTTAGGAATTGCAGAAGAGGTACTTAGGAATTGCAGAAGAGGTACTTAGGAATTGCAGAAGAGGTACTTAGGAATTGCTTAAGAATTACTTAGGAATTGCTTATAAAAATTGATCAGAAATTGATCAGAATTTTCTTAGGAATCGCTAGGAAATTACTGAGGGATTTCTGAGAAATTGAGAGATAATTTACGAATTACTTTATTGTCTTCCATTTGAGTTTTTGGATATTTTGTTCAGTTTTCGTTAAATTGTTCGTCTTTGTATCACGGAATTTTCATACGCTCCCAACCAGACTTAAAGCCGCAGACAATAATATTATTCTTGTATAAGAACTGCACCTAAAAAAATTGCTACATTAAGGGCTTATGACAAAAAAATACAAAACAATCTTTTCTGTCTCTATGTTGTCATTAGTACGCCAATTAGACGTAAAATTGAATTTGGTCTGAATTTCCAGATTCTCGAAATAACGCAATTTTCTTTTTTTAAATTTAAATCTCTAACTATAGCGGAGAACGGATCTAATTTCATAATTGAGGCAATTTCGCTCCTGTGGCGCTGAAAATTAGACTCTGACAATTGATAAAAAAAGGAAAAATGGTGGTTAAACGGGTTTTCGCGAGTTGGGGCAGTTACCAGAAGAAAATTTCTTAAAAAATATTGTAGGTATACGACGGGAGCATACTACAGGGTAATTCATAATGAATTGTATACAGAGTAATGGTAGAATACAAACATCAACATATACCGATTGGCTAAATGTGACCGTAGTAAAATTTATATGGTGGTAAATTTAAAATATTTATCATTTATATAAAATAAAGCTAATAATAATAATAACAACAACAACAGCGAAACAGTAAATCAACAAACAAAATTTTATAATATATCTTAATATATTTAAATAATATTTTATTAGTTGAAACATGTTTACCTTTTTTATTTTTAATCAATGTATGCACAAAACTAGCGTATCGCCATATCTGTCTTATTTAACATAAAAATTTTATATCTAATAACATTTCCGTTAGCATATGAAGTGACTCCTCGTGGAGTAACCCAAAAATAAGTGATACTTGTCACGTCAAAAAAAACCCAATTAATAACATTTTAATTTTTTGTGGATTTTTAGGTGCCTATATGTATTGGGATGGTTTTTAAATAAAAATCATATGTTAGAGCGTTCAGCACTGATCAGCGCCATCTTCAGTATGGTGTTTATTACTTTATAATATTATTTTTTTTTTCCTTTAGACATTGTTATATACACCGCACAAAAATTATCGCATTACTAATATTTCTAAATATTTTGGCCATGTACTTTTTTAAAAATATTTTTTTTTTTTAGTTTAATTTATATTGAACCTTTGTAATTACATAAATCTTAAATAAAATTTCCCATTTTAAATCAATATGTACAGGGTAAATAAAGAATACCAAACACGGACATAATAGAATTTATAGTGCCTTCGTTAAAAAAATTAAATTCTTCGAAAAATGTGAAATTTTTTGAAAAATACAATTTTCTTAGTATCTTTTATTGCCTCCTCTTGCCCTTATCACAGCCTCCATTCGCCTTGGTAAGCTTTCAAACAACCTATGTATGTATTCTTGCTTCATGTTGTTCCATATTTCGTTTATTGCATGTTGAAGCTCATTAAGGGTTCTGAATGGAGCTTAACGGTGCTGGATCGCCCAACCTAAGTGGTCCCATACGTGCTCAGATTGAGGTCTGTGCTGCGAGCTGGCCATTTCAATGTAGCAATATTTACCTCCTCAAGATATTCCCGCACTATACCGGCAGCGTGCGGTTTTGGTCCTCTCTTCTAAAGTACCGTCCAGTCTCCCTATGCCTTTGAACAACTCTTGAAATGGTACTCTATTGTAAACCCAATAAATCCGCCACGTACCTTTTACTTCGCCCATCTTCAATCAACGCAATTACTCTGACGGCCTCTTCATCTGTCAAATGGTGAGTTAAACGTTGTGGACCAGCCATAGTATACACCTTTATCATACAACTTAATATAAAAGCAGGAAACGCAGAAATGAACAGCATAATTGCAAAGTGAAATGTATGCCTATCCGCATTCTCCCGAAAAAAGTAATCAAGAACCTAACAAAAGAAGAAACGAACAGTTTTTTGACTCCGAGTTTATCAGTAAAGAATGCCCATTCAGGGAATGCTTCAGGGGTGTGTATTTGTTTGTTAGTTTCTATTTACATTTTTTCATTAGATTAAGTTATTATCTTGCCTACAAAAAATTTGTTTTTTTTTATTAGTTATGAATTTATGTTTTGTATTATTTTTTTTATAGCTTACCTTTGGTACAAGTGGGGTGTCTTACGATTTATTCTTATTCTTTATTTTTGATGTTTTGATATGGTTCTGGTGTGGGCAACAATGTCTAAAGGAAAAAATAATAATATAAAGTAATAAACACAATACTGAAGAAGGCGCTGATCAGTGCCGAAAGCTCTAATATGATTTTCATCTCAAAACGATCCAAATACATACAAGCACTTAAAACCCAAGAACTTATCACAAAAATTATAAATTAAGGTGCAAGAAGTTAATTCAAAAGAAAACAGACTTCATTTGTAAAGTACTATTAATAAAATTTAATATCAGTGAAACAGGTAAAGAGGGGAGGTAGAGAGGGAGAGAGATATACAATAAGCGATTTCAAGGGATTTTAAATGAATTCCACGAATGGCGGATGATTATTTCTTTCAAACTTTTAGGCTTTTATTCACTAAATTCAGGCATAACAAAAATTAAACTGACGACTACTGACATATAACTAATACAAGGGTATGTACAGAAGCAGAGTACTATACGAGGGATAGAAATAGTAATTATGTAACAAGTAGTATGTTGTCTTCAGGTAATTTTAAAACAGTTATTTTTTACGTGTCAACTAGTATTAATTAATTGAGCCTCTGATTTTATTGTTTGGTGTTGAGACCTAAATCGTAAAACGAAAGTCTATTGCGGATATTAAAATAATATTTATTTTTGACTTATATTAGTTTAAATTAGTTAAAATTTTAAAGTTTTTTAATCGAATTATGATGAAGAAAGTAGTAATTAAAGAGTTCATGACATGTAAAGATCTTTTATCATACGAGGTGAGACAAAAACATGTTTGAATTTTGACTTAAAACATCAATATTTTCATAAGATCTATGGTAACAAATGGTACAGTTGTCTGGGTACCGAAAGCCCAACAGGGATATGCTCATCTATACAGATAGCAGACAAGCACTACTTACCCTGAACATACCACAAATTTACTCAGGGTTAGTACTAGAATGGCACGATGCTTTGGACGAAGTATTCATCAACAATGTTGCCACCTTAAGATGAATCAAAGGTCACCCCACATCGAAAGGTAACCGTCTTGCTTATTCACTAGCCAAGAAGGCAGCCAACCAAATACTTTTTTGACCTGTACCCTTCCATTGGACTGACAACATCGGTAATGACAAACCTAATTAAAGAACATTTCCTTGTGAAATTTAAGGATGCAAGGAAATAGTAATCTGTAGAGTTGTT